AAATTCCAAGTGCTCTCACTCTCCCCAGCAATATAAGCACCCAAGCTCTTTTTTTTATTGTGGCCCAAGCATATAATAAAATTACTATAAACTGGTAAGCTGTGAACACATTGTATTAAAAAGATACAAAAATATTAATTAATATGTTATCCTAATCTATTATTCATGTAACTTCACTAGGGAGACTATGTTCTTGAAGGAATGAAGCATTTCTCAGATCTTAAACCTATTTGTTCTGTTTTTTAGAACTGCAATATTGACAATGAGTGGTGCTTAAATGACTTGGAAAACAATGAAAAATGTGTGTTTTTTCAATGCTACAGATGTTTATGAAATATATCCATTGGACAAAATAGATAAACTGTTTTGCTATGAAGCTTACACTTGTATGTAAAGTAGCTACACTCAGATTTCAGCATCTCTCTAGAAGACAACCACCTTAAAATTTCAATTGCCAAAAGAAAGACTGGTGTGCTGTTTAATTATTAGTGCCATAAACCAGAGCAGTATTTACCTGCCTATAACCGAGCTTAGGAAAATCCACTTATCTCTCCAGGCAGGTGCTGCATTTCTCACCGTTATTACAGAAATGATTAGGAACGTTGAGTTTCTGAGTGGTTTGTCCCCTCCTGCTTCATCCCATTCCCCAGAAAAATGCAGCTTTGAAACTGGAACAAACTCTACTTGCTTGTTGGCGAGACGGAAGGAATGAAAGGTCCCATCTGCAGCAGCCACCGACCAAGTGCTCGGGTCCCTCGTCCCTGTGGAGTTTGGCCCATCGGATGCATGTGGTTCACAAGCCTCCACACATCCCTCTGTCCCTAGCGCAAGGGCAGAGTTTCAGCAGGGACACACTCCTCTGCTCAGGTACAAAATGCTGGCCTGAATCACTGGCATTTGCCAGTCTTTGCCTGTGGCACTCGTATCCTGCTGCCACCATGGCCTCCAGGAAGGCCAAGCTTCAGCGTAGCGTCAGCTTCCTTTGGGAACAGAAATCAGTCAGAACCTCCTCAGTGCACTCAGAGCCTTCCAGAGTTAGGTCTCCTGAGGTAACATTTGATGTTTCCATCCTGTCTCATGCTACATTTTGGTGGGACTTGACCACAGGTCCCAACACTTACGTACCTATCTTGAAAAATCAGAAAATGTAGCTATGAATTTCAAAAGGTATCAGCATGGTACTCTAAGTCTCTTTTTCCTCCACCTTCCAAACTACCATATTCCTCATTTTCTATTAATAGTGCTCCAAGAAAGAACTGTTTTCTGTAACTTGAGTGCTATATAAAATGATGAATGAGTTCACAACACCTGTTGCTGCTATGTACATGGAAGTAATTTCCCCTCACCTATTGCACAGAAATCTGTTCTTTTCTCACAAAGTCAAATACTCTGCTTATATTTCTAGTAAATATCTCCCAGATAAGCTTCAAAAAGGTTCTGTAAGTAACTAATTAATATCATTTTTCTTCATATGCCAATAAGTTAGACTGTTGAAGAAAAGGAGGTATGCGGGAAATTCAGATTTAAGTTATTTGGATGGATGGGTGGATGGATGGATGGATGGATGGATGGATGGATGGAGGAATAGATAGATAGATAGATAGACAGACAGACAGATAGATAGATAGATAAAAGTATCTGAATAACTCTTCTCAAACCAAAATGACTTGGTGATTCACAGTTGTGTGCTGTCTTTTGCATAGAATTGAGTTTTCCTCCTAAACAGTCCTGAATGCCTCCCATTTCCTCACTTAAACTGAGAAAGTAATACAAACGTCTGCACTTA